GAGGAAGCTTCAACCCTTCCAGAGGAAGCTTCATTCCTTCTAGAGGAAGCTGCCGGTCCGGAGGATGAGAGTGGTTCACGCAGCCGCTCAGGAGAGGACCAGTCTGCCGCTGCAGATGCTGAGAACAGACCTGAGGTCAGCGAGGCCTCAGACCAGCGTCCCTCCGCCTCTGAGACCAAACAGAGTCATCCTCACCCCAACACGGTGGAGCCGCTGTCGGACCACAGAGGGAACCGTGAGTAAATTCAGCTGTGGCTTCTTTGAAAATACAAGGTCACGTGTTCTGTTAGATATTCGGTCGCTGGTGGTGTTTACGTGGAGTCGCTGGTTTCTGGGGAAACAAATGAGTTTATTTTCGTGTTCCTTCGCACAGTCAACGGGAGAAATCACTCCGGAGCTCCTCACCTTCCTGGTGGTGAGTAGTTCTGTCTTTTCCTTTCACATTTACAAGTTGTCAGTTTCGAAAGGGATTTTTAAAAATTGATTATTAAAATAATTGTTCTGTTGATTCTTTGTCTTTTAAAAAAACAGTCAATTTATTTTAAACTATATTTCATCTTCTTGTTTTGGAGCATTTCACTTGTTTCAGGCTGAGATGAATGATTTTAATAGATTCAGACTTTTACTGAGATTGTATTTCTGCTACGACTGGAGGACGTTTAACAAAGCGGCTGCAAAAAAGAGTCTTTCAAAAACAGTAGAAAACAAACTGATTTATGAAACATGTCAATATTCCCCAGATTTGGAAAAAGGCAGATAATATGTTTTAGCTCATTTTTGTTTTTGCATCTGTTGGTTATTCAACATTCAAACATTAGGAGCAAAAAGTTTAAATATCTTCAGGTGATTTAGGAGAAAAAGATTTAGTTTTACTCGGTTCAGTTTTCAAATCTATAATATATATATATATCAAATATACTGTCCTGTCATTATGGTGATTGGGGGAATGAGTCCCCGTGCTGTCGCTCTCTCACAGATCACCTGTTCGAAGTGACCGTCGAGGTGAATTTCAGTCAGGATGTGGACGAGTCGTGGGACCACGTGGCCACGTCGCTGCTGCTGTCGGTGAAGACTCTGGTGAGCTGAAGAAAACAAAGCTTCATGTTTTCATCATGTGGGGAAATCAAGGTCCAGTGTGTCTGTTTCCTGATCCAAACCTTTTACTGCACATTTGTCTCGGACTGTAAATAAAGATGGACGACAGGTGTCCACTTCCTCCCAACACCGCTCGCCTCTGAAAATGTACCCGAAGGATTTTCCTGCATTTCATTTCTTCTTCTGTGCAGATCAGTGAGCGGCTGGAAACTCCGCACACGTCCCTGCTGCCTAAAAGAATAAAGAGGTCGGAACAACGGGACAAGTTTTGTCAGTCTTGTATTTTCATCTGATCTTAACAGGCTCATACAGTTTGAACTGTGTCACAGGGTCTTCATTAGCCAATAGAAGATGCTCGCTGGTTGTAGACATCGTGTAGCAGCGTAAAGGCTCAGTGTTGTGTGTGTGTGTGTGTGTGTGTGTGTGTGTGTGT